TTTCACTTCGAGTCTAATGTGTGCCTTGGTCGCCCAGGACCCGCAGTGTACGTTTTGGTTACATGTCCACAACATTATTCGATGCCCTATGCGCCTTCAACATGTGGCGTACCCATGTCTTTACAGTCTAGTTGGCTGCGGTCGTTCGGGCTATTCAGGAGGGGTGAGGGGCGTGGTTTGGCGCGGCATCAACCGGTTTCTCATCAAGTGGTGGTCGTCTGCCAGCTTCCGCAATCGGTAGGACGAGCTGTCGCTGCCCCAAGCCCATGGCGCGAAAAAGCAACATTTCTACAAATCTGCCCACATCGCACCTGGAATTGACCCATCTCCCATTTACTCACACTATGTGTCCGTAATATACGATTAATTTCAGTTGGCTCTCACTATCTATTTCAGATTCGGATTTCTGCGCCTTCCGTCATTTTCAATAGAATTTTCAACAGGAACGACCTTGAGTCCATTTCTCAGACGACAGGCGCAACATGATGATTCCCAGTTGACTGGAATGGCTCATCAGGTATCCTCCAGTTGGGAATATTTCATAGGATTGTGACCATGTCTATGACGTTGCAGGTTCATGAGATGTTTCCTCAAATGCCTTTTGAGGCTATAATGGAGGATTTGCGTATAAGTGGATCATCGCAGGCTACCATTGAAAATATTTTAGAAGGTCGAATCGGTTTCATGGCTGGTATCATGGGTGCTGAAGTACGTTTTTTCTCTTTTTCTATACTTTTCTTTTCTGTTTTCAGTACCTTCTTGTGCTTTACAGGACGGAATGCGTCCATGGAGAATGAATGGTGAAGCAGGAGAGAATGAGGATCTGTTATTCGATGATGATGACGATAGCAGTGGTGATGATGTTGTTTCGTCATCTGATTCCGCATTGACGATTTCACCTCCTCAACCCTCGGGTTCGGCGGTGTCTGTGGTCAATCAACAGTCAGATATGGACGTTACACCGTATCAAGTAGCGAAGAGGGAAATGATAGCTAAACACAGAAGGTAATAAGAATTTAGAGTTTCTTTGAGTATCTCGGATTGGGGTTGCATTTCATATGCATAAGTCTAAATACACGCTGAACGCTTTGTGGGTTCGATGTTATCAACGGGCGAAGTGGGCAGCCCGCAACTATAGATGACACCATTATAGTCCCTTGGCAGTGCATAGTAGTGAAACTGAAGTGTTACGATAGCTGGATGTTCTTTCGATTCTCCATCTACGAGCAGAGTACGCCATAGACACTTACACGCCACAAGACCAGCCATATGTCTAGTCATAGCAGAACGCACCTATTGTCTGTGCCCTCTCACGTTTCAGAGAAGCCATTGTTCCCCGCAGCTATTTCGCTGTCCTTAAAGTCAGCCTGCCTGCACGTTCGTTGCTGAATTTTCGTCCCACGGCGAACGCGTTTACCCGCGAGACGCAGCATGCTCATCAGGGCACATCGTTGGGAAATCCCCAATAGGGTCGTATTTGGTCGCCAGGAGGGGGGGTCGTATTTGGGCTGAGAAAAATTTATTTGATAGTTGATTTTTCTCGCTTCATGGACGTTGTAAAGGGAGGGGGTCGTATTTACATTTTGGGGGGGGTCGTATTTACGTTTTGGCGTTGTGGGAGTGGCGGTTGACTTTTGGTGATTTTCCTGTTTCACGTACTATATGCCCCCCCCCCCCCGCTCGACAGCAAAATGGTAAAAAGTAGGAAGT